GCTAACGTTTCAGTAAAACGTGAAGTTGTTGGACCACCTTTATTCAATCGATATATCTTACCATCATAATAAAATCGATTATTGTATAGAAATAATTTTGTTAATTGAAGAATTTTAGTATGATGAATATTTTCAATGCGAGGTAAATAATAATAGTTGAGAAAAAAATCAGATAATGCGTTGATCATAAGATTATGTGGAACTAAATGATAAAAATTACCAATGGTAATTGTTACAAATTTTGTTGTTGTAGAAAAACGTTGAGAACGTTGAATATAATCATGAAATTCTCGTAAGAAATAAGAGCCATTTCGATAGATTCGTCCTTGTTGATGTATATCGACGGCATGTCGTAATATTTGATCAAGAAATCGTCCTAGTGCATATGTAGGACTATTTTTTGATGTCATTATAAGTGGTTTTACGTTGAGTAATGGTTGTTTAGATAAATCGGGTAGAAAATATAAATAAGGCAATTTCACTTTGCCTATAAGAACGCTAATTTTTTTCAGTTGTTCTTTATATTTTAAAATATCGGTAAATATATTTTCAAATGCATAATTCATAGATTTAACTTCTTCTGTTAAATAATCAAGTGTGGCTCGAATATTTTCATTGTTGATTGATGTATGTATTTCAAAGAGATCCGTTTTTAACATAAATTCATTACATAATTGTTCGAAGGATTTTCTATCACCAAGATAGAAAACATTTTGTTGATCCGCTGTCCGTCGTAAAATTAAATTAAATTTTTTTAAATCGTTTCGTATTTTTTCAATAATTTGTTTTTCATAAAGTGCACGTTCATAAATTGATTTCGATATCGTTGGTTTTGAAAATACTTCCGTATAAAGATGTTTAATTCTTCGTTGTAAATTCATTGATTGAACCGTATTCACTTCATGTTGAACAAATACTAAATTTAAATCATGTTGTAATCGTTTATAATTTTTTTCAATATCATTTTTTTCTATCAATTGATAAGGTGGTACATAAGTCGGTCCGCGTGATAACAATTGTAAATCTTTCTTACTGAATAGATGCATTGATGCATGGACGATGATAGTTGGTGAAAAACTAATTTTAGGTAAATTGAAATCGTCGGATTGTTCACCAAAATGTTGTCGGAAATAATAATTTAAATGAAATTGTAGTGTGCAATTGAGTTTTTGTTCAAATAATTTTTGACGACGATGGATAATATCTATCATGGATGATGTTAGCATCGGTGATGAAAGTTGTTCTTGTTGCTGTTGAAATAAACAGTGCCATTGAGAAATTTTCTTTTCATTGTTGATAATTGCTTTTGTTATAGAATCATTCAGATGTTTTTGCACTTGTTTATCATCATGATCGATTTGTTGTTGAAAAAAATTTGGATTTGTCACTGTAGTTATGGATACCATGGATAAGGCTTCTGTGACACTATGTTGAGTTGGATAATTACATAGAATACGATGTTTTAATTCAATTAATTCTAGTTTTTCTCGCATATAATCTTGATATGTTTTGTATAGATGTTGAACAGTTTCAATCTTAAAAAAAATAAAAGGAATTGGAGAACATACATTTTTAATACAAAAAAAAAAAAAAAAAAAAAAAAAGAAAACTATACTTGTTTTTCTGTGGGTTGAAGATGGCGAAATTCACGTTGTAATAATTCATCTTGATAATCATATTCAAATTGAGATAGATAATAATCCGATTTGAGTGTCATTGGTAAAAGACGATAATGTTGAATAAAATGATCGAGTTTATGTTCGATGATATCAGTTAAATATGGGCAATCCTCTTTATAATTATTCATTTGTTGTATTAATTTCTCTAATCGATCATTTATTTCATTCAAATATTTTTCTATATACTTTTGAAATTGTTTTTCTTGAAATTTCTTTTTTCGAAATAAATCTTTCACTTCAGTTGACCATATTTGCTTTTGAATGCCTGCTTCTAAATATCGTGTCCAACGTTTTAAATGAAGTTGGGCTATACCCATCTGATGTTTACATTCAATGAGAAGTTGTAGTTGAATCCGTGATATTGTATTCGAATTGAAGATAGCATCATAGAACATTTCATCCATTATTTCTAAATAAGTTGTAATTTGATTTGTTTTTTGTTGTTGGTCTTGTTCTTGTTCTTGTTTTACAACTGTCTCTGTTGGTAAACAAAATTTCTTTTTCGAATGGTCTTCTTGACTCGATGTGGGTGTACTTAAAGGACGTTTTTGACCTTCAGTGGATAGTTGAGTTAATTTTTGTGATAAACTTTCTTCTTGATCATCATTAATCATGTATTTTTCTCCTAGTTTTTCTTGTATTTCAGCATGATCATCTTCTTCTTCTTCTTGTTCTTCTTGGTGAAAATTAAAACTAAGATCTTCATAATAATCTTCCATAATCATTCGTTCAACTTCTGTTTGATCATCATCCACACAATCGTCCACATCAACAATATCAAAAATATCATCAAACCAATCGATATTATTGAACTACAATAAAAAGAATTCTTCATGATCATGTGAAATCCGAAAAAAAAACATATCGCTTACCATCGATGATGAATATTCTTCCATGCGGTTGAATGACAGAAAAGAATGTTAGATCTACAAAAAGGAAGAAGACGAACATCAGTAGAAAGCAAAAAACAATTGTAGAAAGTTTTATTTGAAAAAAAAAAGCGGAAAAAAAAATTCTAAGTCATTGGACGAACTAGATTTTCATAACATAATTCATCCGTACATTCCATATGTGTTAATGAATTTTCATCATCTAGATGACCCAACGTATTTAATTTTGTTTGTGCATGTGTTATGAAAAGACTTTCAATAAATCGTCGTAATCCAATCGATGCATTTTCTGGTACTAAATTATATGAAAAAAATAAATCAAGAAATATATAATATCGATAGTCTTTTTTTTTTTTTTTTTTTTTTTTTTTTTTAGATACTTACATACGGCAATAATTTTCGCTTCATGTAAATGAAAATGAGGATTGAGTGGATGAAGATTTTTTTTTTTTTGTTGAAAAAATTCTTCAATATTACGTTTTTGTTGAACATTAAAATGATAATTGATATTCGATGGAACAGGTATATCACTAGCAAATTCATACTGATGGTCGTCAACCAATATAATTTCTCGTTCTTGTTGTTGTTCTTCATACTCCGAAATTCGTTGTGGAATGAATGACCAATAATCAGGATTTTCATCTAAAAAACATTGCATTGCTACTGAACAACGACATGAATGTTGATATAATCGCATGCCATCTTTCACTAATTCCCTTGAAAAAGTATAAATTACAAATTGCTTAAAATATGTTGAACAATATATATCTTACTCAAAAGATTTCATTTGACCATGATTGATATAATTTGTTAATTTTTTGCCAAAGAGAAATTCTTTTATAATACGCATTCCATGTTTTCGATGATCTAAGTTGTATTTATTGAACAAAAAACATACAAATTTTTATAGAAAAAAAAAAAAAAAAAAAAAAAAAACTCACAACTAAGACGCCGTGGTAAAGATAAGCTTGTTTCACCAATATAATCAAATTTTTTACATGGACATGTAAGAACATAAATGATATTTTGTGTTGTACATGTTGCTGGACAATTTAAAATAGTTCGATAACCATTGACAAATATATGTTGTACATTTGATTGAGATTCTAAACGATTAGAAGTGTAACATAAACAACATGATTGTTGTCGACATGTTTCCATCGAATAACGTCCATAAGGGTTTCGTTGATCGGTGGAAAATATACTTTGAGGTTGATTCATCACAGGTTGCGCACCACGATATGAACACGTTTTCATGTAGAAAAGATCATAATCTATTTGAAGATAGAATTCCAATGCTATTTTATATTCATGTTCATGTACATATTCTTCTGGAGCATTTGTTGAAAAATGATACATCCGTTTTTGGGCCGATTGATTTATTAATGTTGACATTTTGTGAAAATTAGATTTTAATACATTTGGATGAATATTCCAACGTTGACTAAGAGTTTCAATCCAATCTTCATCATGATTTGCAAGCGGTATTAGTGGATAATAACCATAACATTGACGTTGCAACAATTGATCTTCCGTGAGTTCATTGACTAAATACAACAAATACATATTAAAATAGACTTATAAAGAAACGAATTTTTTTCTTTTATTACTTGATACATTTATTAATAGAAGATCATTGGATATTGGATACGATGGAAGAAGTTGAAGAAGTTTAGAAATGAATGACATTTTATGTTATCTAGAATAGAAAGACAAACAATCAAAAAGTGCTATTTGTGGTTGTTAGTCTTCAACAAAGATAAACAATTTAAAAAGTAAATCCAATAAGAATATTAATTCAAAAATTAGCAAAAACGACAAAAGAAAAAAATGAAAAACAACCAGAGTTATCGTAAATGTTATCCTGTTGTGTTAATTGAGATAAAATTATATTCATATGTACATAAAAACTAAATGAAAATATGAATTTCATTTAAGATATAGTATTCATCAATAGAACATACCGAACCGTCGACATTCGATTTTTGATGTTGTTGTACAAAACGATACAATACATATAATATCATAAACAAAATCATAATGAATAAGACAATCATGACAATACTTATGAACAGGGTCTCTTCATGTTCTTGTGTAAATGGTTGAAGAAGAAATGGTGTATCTGATGAATCCATTATTATCTATAAAACGAAGAAAGAACAATGATCTTCTGTTTTTTTTTCTTTTTTTTTTCTTTTTTTTTTTTTTTTCTTTAGATGATGAATGCTTTTTTGTATCGTCGATAAAATACAACCAATAACACTACGAAAATTAAGATGATGAATATTATGATAAAAAGTAAAAGAAAATCTTGAATAATTGAATGGGTTCTGAAGAAAAAAAAGAATGGCCGTTCAAACACAGTTGTGATATTGACGTGACCAATTTTCGATCCGTTCACATGTATAAGAAAATCTCGAGTTGAAATGGATGGATTGAAATGAATTCGGTTATCATTGTGTGTGAGTTGATGGTTGATTTTCACGGATGATAGTAGACCACCAAGGATTTTTTCATTTGTATGTATTTGTGAAGTCATTGTTTTTGGAAGAAAAAAAAAAGATCTAAAAGAAGAAGATGACGATTATTATTTGAAAAGATGAGCTAATGGTATCGGTATGCTATTTTTAAGTAAATTTTTGTTAATACAAGCTTTGAATGAACAGTAAAAAAAAGCTAACAAACTTAAAATGATCGTGATGCAAACGAGATACACAGGCCTAAAAATAAACAACAAGAAGAAAAAAAATTTTGCATGAAGATAAACAAAATAAGACAAATTTGTATACCAATTATTTGTTATTGTTGTTAACCAGCTGATTGGTGTTAATACAAGATCCGTACCACCTTGCATAATATGACCACCTTGATTTTTGATCATACTTAACCAATGATCTGCTTCTTTAATACTCGTATTACTATGCGTAGAATCCATATTAATTGTACCACCATGGTTTGCACTAACTTTTTTTTCATTTGTATCACTGAAGATATTGATCAATGCACGACGAAACCGAGTTTGTTGTTGATCAACCAGTGGCATTGTTGAAATCATCGATATGAACTTGATAACAATAAATGTAGTTAATAACAATGGTGTGGAAGAAGTCATGATAAAGTGTTAGAAGGTAAATGATGATGGTCACTGGTAAGTATCGACTATTTATGGTACGTCTTGGAGAGTGAAATAGAGAAATACCCGATGAAGAAAAAAAAAAAAGAATTTTACTGTTTGAGTTCTTTCTATTCGTTGAAAGACTATTTAGTGAAATTAAGAGAGTGAATCAGAGAAATAAATTGTATAAAAGTGTAATTGTAAGAGAGAAAATTTAAATGATGATTGATAATCCAATGATGTTTCCCAGCGTTGAAAATTTTTCGTATGATGACTTGTACTCTCACGATCGATCATTTGGGAAGGATCGAATAACTTCCGGTTAGATATTTATCAATGCAATCTTTCATTTTAATGTGAACGCAAGTATTTAATGGACAGATAATAATCAAGTAACACGTTTCATATATTGTTTTTTTATTATTGCACAATTAGCACAATACTGATAATCGGATCAGTCATGTCGTCATTTGTGAGAACAATTTAAATTAGATAATATCCATATCGCCCGTGGAACAATAGTTTCCATATGGTGTAATATTTCTTTCTTAGAGAAGAACCAATGCCAAAAAAAAAAGCAATAACATAGAGGGACAGAGAGAGAAAGAGTGAATTGAGGAACATTTCTTATTATTGTATCAGTTGAAGGAAATGGAAGCAACTGATGAAGATAACGTAACTCGAATTGTTTTTTTTTTAACTTATTTTTCTTCTTATTTGACATAAAAGAAGAATATGTATAATAGAATAAATAATTTTCTTGTTGTCTTTTTTATAGACTTTATCATATCGCCTTCAATGTGGTACCAAAAGATATTGATGATTATTCATTCAATTAAATTTAGAAATATTATGCTATTTATTATGTTGATCATAGTAATGATCCTATCCTTTCCAGTGTCTCAACTACTTCTGCTTTATGTAAGCATTCCACGTTATATCCAATTCGATAATTTGATTATTGAATTCTTTTTATTTATTTGTTTCTTTATTTTTTTTTGTTGTAGTTGCACAAAGTACTAAAACATGCAATCTCATTGTACATGCAGTTATATCAAATCTATATTACCGTTGAAATAATAAAATGTTTCACAAACTCTACGTATCCATTCGAAAATAACAATGGAATAGATTTATTTTTTCTGTTTGTATTTTGTTTTTTTTTTCTCTTTCAATAAAAATTAGTATCATCTTTTTCTTTCAATTTTGAAATGAATTCGACCATTTTATTATTTCATTACTATGATCCCGATCCTAAATCTTCACATTTATATAAGAATAATAATAGTTAAGTGTTTGTGTGTGAAAATTTATTCACTTTATTTTTTGAATATATATATTTTTTTTTTTTCTTCACATAATAGAACATTTAAGATGCATATGTGTGATGAAATGAACGCCGATGGATACGGCAGATAAAACAAAAACAGAAAAATCACTTTAGAGAGAGAGAGAGAGAGAGAGAGAGAAATTGAAATCATTTATTTATTGTTGTAGCACTTGAAACATGGAATCCTTCGATGATGAACCATTTGAAGCTCAGTTTTCTATCTGTTATGATGAAGTCAATAGAAAAACAAATTTATTGTAATGGCTTTTGAACCAGTTTGGTTTTTTTTTTTTTTTTTTTTGTTTAGGAGAAGCCTATAAAAAAATGATATTTAATATGGAACCAAAATTAGTGTGTTATTTTTTAAATAAACAATTTAGTAAATCTCCTATTTATCATGTTGGTTATTTAGGTCGCGACATGCTCTTTGTCGTATCAAATGATTGCGCTGCTAGTATGTATTCACTTATACAAGTTTTACATGAATTCATTTTATTTGCTGTGAATTTTTAGTTAAAAAAGGCTCAAAAAAAGGTGACTATATCATACATTCTACTGTATTGGATAAACATCGGGAACTTGGTCAATTCTATATGACCATAAGAGATTAAATTTGCTCATGATTTTTTTGTTTTATTTGTTAGTTTCGTTTCTTTTTTTTTTTTGTTGTTTTTCCTTTTCTTGATTCAAAAAATAAATCATGGAATGATAATTCATTCGAAAAGATAATATTTCATTTATAGACAATTTTTTATTAAACAGCAAAAAGAAAAAAAAACAGAAGTATTATTTACAAAAGAAAAAAAAAAGAAAATTGTCTTTAACCACCAGGCGCATATGCATTAGTATCTGGCTGTTGTATTTGACCGAACATATCATCATCATCATAATCATCATCATCATCATATTCTTCTTCAAATTCTTCATCTTCTTCATCTTCATATTCCCAGTCTAATTCTAGATCTAATTCATCTTCCACAATATCCATTTTAATTATTCGATTGTTACCATTTGTTGGATTCTCAACATAAAGAATTAATTGATCATTTTCTGGATCAGGTACAATATTTATTTGGATCATTGATGATGATGATGGTGATGATGATGATGATGAGGATGAGGATGATGGTGTTGTATTCATTTTTTTATAATGTTGATTCAATGAAATTCCATGGTATTTATATCAGACAAACATTGAGAGAGACAGAGAGAGAGAGAGAGAGTGAGAAAATATATACATTGAATATCTGTTGGTCACTATCTTCTTATTAACCAATAGATAAAGATGAGTCATTTTGTCGTCAAGGAGAGTAAAAACGATGAGCGATACTGTCAGCCATCTTTTTTTTTTTTCTTCCATCCTTCGTTTCGCGTACACTACCTCCGTTATCGTCCACTTTATACGATAGACATCTATCGACAATAATATACTAACAGAAGAAATCGAATTATGAATCATAGTGTCCACCATTATCTTTTCTTTCATCGTTGGTTGCCCGGACGTGTCCTTCATTTTTTTGAATCTTACTATCAGAAAATTATTCTATATCATTAAATTTCTAGATCTTTTATCAAAGAGATCATTATTTCAATAGAATATCTAAAAACTCATCCTTTTCCATGAATTAATTCTCTTCATCATAAAACAAACGACATCTTCATTGAAATGAAGGACATTGTTCATGCGAACAAGATGCACGAAAATTTAAATGGAATTGTTTCCAAAATGATCGTATTTTGAAACCGATATTTATTTGTGTTGTATCTGAAATATATTTCTTATTTCGTTATAGATTGTTTGAGCATTCACTTTTTTCTAGTTTGCAACGAGATTTATAAATATTATTTAATATCTTTATTCCAGTCTTTCAACTAATTCCAAAATGCATTCATTTATTCTATTTTATTAGAAAGTATTTACGAAAATCATCAAAATATCTTCGAATTTTTTCTACAAATTGTCATATTCATCTAGCTTGAGAAAGTGAAAGAGTTTTGAATGTTTCATGAGTTCGTGATAGAATTTCAATTTAATATTATTTTCAATAACATTTTTTAGTTGTGAATTTATTTTTCTAGATTGTATCACTCTTATCGACATAGACGTCGTTGTTTTTGAGCAGATTATTATTGAACTAGAAGTCATATGTAAGAGAGATAAAATATATGATTCTACATTAATTTATACAACTTGTCTTTTTATTTTAGGTTAATATACATGGCCTTCTGAATTGAATTGTACAAATCGCATCACAGTCACCTGCTTAGCATATTATTGTTCCTTATATAATACAATAATTATACTACTTCAATAAATTTCATTCTTATTTATATTAATGATCAAGGATTTCAAAGAAAATTTACTGTTGTTGATACTATTTTACAAAGTATAAAGATATGAAAACAATTGAGAAGAATCACAAATATTCAATGTTACGTTATGAATTGATGGATAAAAATTTAATAAAATTAGAGGATATTAGTCGAACAATTCGTATTTGATGAACAACAAGACTCCATTTGTAAATATACATTGCATTATTTTGTGACAGTTCATTTAATTATCGTGATATTATTCAAAACGATTAAGTCAATGATAATAATAAATAATATTATTTTCAAGATTAGAGATTTTTCGTTTCGTTTTTTTTTTTCCAATAGATACCGAAGATATTTCAATATATTGGTCTGACAAGACGAAAAGAAAAAAAAAACGACTTTAAAATATTCAAGTCGGAGAATTCTTAGTTTCATTACAACCAATTGGTATTTTCTTCATGTGTTTTATCCAAGAAGTTTTGTCAAATAATTTTATATTTATGTAATAATGTATGTCAAATGCATATTCATTATTTATTTCCATGTTGAATGGATCGGAATTATTACAACGTTATATTTTGTTACATCCAGAAACAATTTTATAAACATATAAGTAAATTTCAAAGTAGTTATATATACATTGAATCTTTTCTTTAGTAATCTTTTTTTTTTTTTTCTTTATCTTATTTAAGAAGAAGAAATTCGTGGCTTGTCTCTTCGAAGTTTAACTTCATCATCTACACATGAACGTCTGTCTATCAACATTGTAAAACAGTACTGCGAATAAATCAATAATCAATACAACAATATCATTTGGAAAAAATTTCAGATGTTCTTTCAATTGTTGGACAACTTATGATTGATATGAATCTCTGTTCTTTAACGTTTTACTGTCTGTTTATTAATGTATTGATATTGAATGAAACGATCAGATCGGTTTATCAAAAAAAAAATTAATTTTCCAATGGCAATTTATTTATCATTTCTATTTCCGATTTTTGTATACGAAATATTTCTTGTTATTGTTAATTTTCGATTTTTTTGTTCAACGTATGAAGCTCATATATGTAATAAAATCCACTATATTCAGTTCTGTATACTAAAATAAAGTTTTCTTTTTAAATTCCTTGAAAAAAATTCCAATCACAACAATTTTGATAAACGACAAACATATCTCATATGAAAACATTCCTTATTTTCTAACAATTTGATCATATTCTTTATTCATTCTATCAAAAATACAACAACGTGAAGAATTTCAAAAAACTTGTATGAGAATATATTTTGACAAATATTGAATATGTATCAGCTATGACTATAGCTAATCTTGGAAACTCATAGAGTACTCACACTAATTCTACTTCTCTAAACCATGCTGAATAGTAAATATTCAACAAAAAGCACAACCAATTACAAATTTCAAAGTACACTTTCCATAATCATCGAAACTCTTTAGATACAGACATATTAATACAAGTAACGCTCGTGGCTTCGACTCGCTTAACCCTCGACTGAACAAGATATCTTATTCAGTTTTTTTTTTTTTTACAAAACATGTAGTAAAAGAAGTTTATAATAACAATTGTACGTAAAAAAGTAGACTAGTTTTTGAAAATTATACTGGAACAAATTCTTTGTGAACATAAAATTTAAATTGAAAGTGCACTAAAAATATTTTATTGAAATTTTAAATAAAGTTAGCTCTAAAATTTTCGTTTTTCACATTTAAAAACATTTACCATATCAATTTTAAAGCTAATTATAATTTTAATTATAATTTTAAACTTACCGAAATTTAGAGCTTGCTAAAAGTTAGGTTTCTTTACTTTTATTCAACTATTTGCAATTGGTAGAGTGCGTTAAACTACAATAGTGCTTCCTTTGTGTTTCATTACTACAATTTACAGAGTGCACTAGATGTTGACTTTCATTATTTCAGTTTCATAGATTGTGATATGTAGAATGTGCTAAGATATAGAGGTTCTTCTTTATTTGTAACTAATAGCAATTTACAGAGTTCGTCAAATACGAATGCTACTTTGGATGCCTTCAACTGTTCTTGATTTTAAACAGAACAGCAATGATAAAATGGGATCGGATGTCGAATGAAGATAGTTGATTGAGATCCGAAACCATTCATACACAAAACTCATAAATACAAAAAAAAATGATATTTTAAACAAAGCTTCTCATCCATAGAGATGTTGATAAACGTCTTCTCTATATGAAAACCATTTGATTCGTTCACATCGCACTCTCAGAAAATATCACGTTATCATAACAATTTATCATACAGCCTACTTGAAAACTCGCTTTATTTTTACATGAAGTCAATCTTAGTTGTATCCCTAATCCCGATTTTTGCTCGGGTATTATACGCATTAACTTAGCAATGATACGAGAAAGACGCGACTATTACATTATATTTTTTTACGTTTATTTTTTTGATCAAGACTCACAGAGAGACTTTAGTTAAACTAAAATCTGGCTTTCGTTACAAATCATACGGATCTTTTCAAGTTTCAAAACCTTGTTTTATCAAAAATTTACGTCTTCTATAAATTGCACTAAACCTCAGGGAACACTAAAAAATAATTATTTGTCAAAAAAGTAACGACTTCTACAAATTGCAGCAAATATAAAATGAATTTTAATCTTATAAAAGTCTTTAAAAGACATTTTATTCGATATCCGTTGCCCGTAATCAAATTTTTTAAAGTTAAATAACAATTTTAATCGTTTTCCCAACAGAAAATTTAATGAAAGAATCGAATTTAAACCAAACGAAATTTCAAAAGTTTTTATTTATATAAAATTTGTTTTAATGTTCGCAAATGAGAGGTATCCCACTTCAAACAAGACAAGCTCGGTGAAAAATAAACGATTTCTGATTCGGATGCTCAGCCCTCGATAACTTACAGTGAAGTTTCGTCAAAACTTGTAAAATCCTACCAATGAAAAAGCCCACTTCTGATTGGTATGCTCCCAATCAGTGAACGTTGAGCGAAACAAAGCCACTTCAGATTCGCATTTCCTAAACCCAATTTACCTTCATGAGCCTGTGTAGGAGAATTCAATGTTGATGGTTTTTCGACTTCCACACAAAGAACGTACCCACACACACACAAACTAATTTTTCTTTAAATGACGCTCACTATAGTCGAAGGAATGTCGCTATTTTAGCAAGAAACTCTTTCCCAACACTCAAACATCCACTTCAAACTTTTTAAATCCTGATTTGAGATTCGGATTTCCCGACCCTCATTTCCTTTCGTCAAACTTTGTAAAATGTGGTTATTCTCTACAAAAATCCATTCCTTCGCCCAAAAAATTCAATTCAGAATTTTCCAAAAGTTGACTTCAGATTCGCAATCCCCGACTTCGATTCACTTCCGTCAATCTTTAGAAAACTCGTTATTATTTCGGAAAAACCTCTCGTTCACCCGAGAAACCCCATTATAATTTTGAAAATCTGACCTCAGATGCGAATTCCTCACCTCAATTGACTTTCGTCAAACCTTCTAACATATCGTTGTTTTCTCGAAAAACTGTTTTCTTGACCCTCAAAACTCAATTCAAAAATTTTGAAGTTTAGGTTCAGTATATCTCAGGAAAGGGACGTCTGGGGACCACACACACATATCTATTATTCGATAGAGCATCCTCGATAACCCTATGATCGGCCCGAACATGACTATGTGTTGTCCATACAAAAAGGAAGAAAAGCCCTTTTTGAAAGTTTGCGGAATTTTTCAACCCGGAAGTAGGAGAATTCTATATTTTTCTCCTTGAAGGGACGGTTGGGGACCCCGACATATACCC